CGCATAGTCCAAAAGTAGGGGGAGTTTTTATAGGATTCCTTCCTGCCAACATGAGTCTCTTTACTAGAAAAAATAAATAAATGAAAATCTATGCTCCATTAGACATGGCCTTTTTGCAGAACTGGACTTTGTATACCATCCAGCAAAGGAAGAATCTGCCCCAAAAGATGAACGGACTGTGGTGGATATTTTGGAGTGGGGGAAAACATATCAATAGAGGAACAGGCAGGAGTAAATTCTTTACCCAGTTATACTGATAATGTTTCCAGTATGTGTGTGTATAATACCCGTATGGTATTTTGAAAATGTAATGCACAAAGTATGATAACGGCCTCTCAGTTACAAGACAGACTATTGTCAAAACCGTCATCAAATATAGAAATAAAACATTAAGCTTGCTTCCTTCACCACCCTATGAAATTGCTCTTTTAAGAGCAACTTTGGGAAATATATTTAGAAGTGGACAGGACAACAGGAAGGGAATAGCAGTCAGTTGAAACAGCTTTTGAGTTGTAACACTCAAAACCACCATAGCAACCAGAGTCACCCAAAGGTAATGGAGTTAAGCATGTGAGAAGCAAGTGAGAAATTAAACCAGCTGAAAGGTCTATAAGAATGAGCCAGAGCCTGAAATAATAATTAATTAGATCTCTTCACCAGGATGTTTCCTACTTATACTTGTATTAGCCTTCTCCTTTGAATAGTCACCCAACCCTCCTTTGCAGTGGCAGAATCTACTCTTCTGATGAACAGAATCACTTCCCACTCTCAGACCACAGTGACTGGTCTGGCTCTCCTGAGCCATTCACCACTATCTGCCAGTCATTGAGCCTGTTCATTTACCACTACCTGCACTGGTAAACCAAAGAACTGCAATTCAAAAAGCTCACTATTTCTAGTAAATGAGAAAACATAATCAGATAGAAACTGGAAAAGATCTGGGAGTTCCAGAGACAACTACTGTTGCGGGCTGACAGGCAGAAACAAATACACATATCAAGAAACAGAGATTTGCTAGCTAAAACTTTGCACTGAGATGCCAAACTCCTATTTAGGGAGGTTCCAATGGCATTCAAACCGGCAATTTTACTTTAGTATGGAGGATGTCCGATAACAAGAACCACGGGAAGATAGGAATGCCTATCTACTACAGCTTGTGAAATTGCTAATGCTAAGCAAGCATTTAATAATCTTTACCAAAATATTCTGCTGTTGTTTTGACTCTGCTTTCGTCAGTAGTTAACAACATTTATTTTCACTGGGCCTTCAGGATGCTGTTCCACAGTTGTATAAGTCAGAGAAGGTAACTGGGGCACCAGCCCCAGAAGGCTACTTATGAGGAGGTAAGACTCAGGCTGTTGGCAGGCCACCCCTGCTTTTGGGCATCACCTCCCAGGGTCCCAAAATTCCTAGTCATTTTCTGCTTTTCCTTCTCTGTTTGGCTGTTCTGTCTGTGTCTTGCAGTCACCCCCCTCATTTCTCCCACTGACTTTAGGGCTCTTCACTTTGGAGCCTGTCCTAGACATCACCATCCCTAGATGATGGCTATCAAAGCTCTCTCTGTCCACCCCACCTATCTCCTTTCATCCAATTCCATATTTCAGTGTTTTTTCCCCCTCAATGTTGTATCTTTTCATCTGAAGTACAACAAGACTAAAACTAGGATTATTATATTCACTCCCAAGCCATCTTTCCTTTTTTATCATATATGATGGCATGCCATCCTTCCTATATATGACTGACCTTTGGTTTAGGGACGCATCTTGATTCCACCCTCTCCCTTGACATACAAATTGAGGCTATGTCTTGCCCTTTCTTCCTCCTCAGTATTAGTCTATTAATTTCCATATCCACAGCCAAACCATTGATTTAGATGCTAATTATAGCCCACTTTGATTCTTCTTCTCCCACTACCCATGCACCTAAACTGTCCTCTTACTAGAATACAGTATGCTCAACAACTCTGGGCAGCTGTAAATGGACACGCTGACAGACAGTCATATGTTACAGCAGTTCCTGGGGCAAATTTATGCCTTGGTTATTTAATGGGAAGCGAACTGGGCATAATATCATTTGACCCTACCTTTGGACTAGTTTTCATCCATAACTAAATACTATTTACTTAGGCTCAAAATGTCCAAATCTTTCTATACCTCAATTATTTCCTCACATACTAGCTTTCTTCCTAAAGAAGGATTTAGTTCTACAAACAAACAATTCTCTTTATCACATATTCCCCCATCTCCAGGCAGAACGATATAACGCTGCTAGAGCCTACTGATAGTTCCTCTGGGTTACATTTTGGCAAGCACTGCCCATCTGATAGAGCAAGTATGAGCAACAACAGAAAGAGAAGATATTTGGCTTCATTGCAAACCCAGACATAAGGTGTTCTTCAGGTCTTTCATAATCACAGTAAGGTGGAGCCTAGTAGAAATGATAAATGGCAGGATGATTTCTAGTTGGTGATTCATTTCCAACTGGATCTCTGACTGCAGGTGGTCTGGCTACAAAGCATCCAAAGTGGAGCCCCTTACTAGTATCAGAGCACACTCCACCACAGCTCAGGTCGTGCTTGCAGTCATTGAAAAGCATATTAGTTCCAGACATATACAAAATGGCCACCTGGACCTCTAATCACAAACTGATTTACACAGTTTCGGAAGCCTCCAGATCAGATGCTATGTTTAGCAGAGAGGGCATACAGTTGCTATTCTCTTGAGACTCCAAGTTCCTACATCCAGCTGGACTGGGCACTCCTTTAGAATCGTCCACTATCTCCGAAACAGAAGAAATTACTTACATTACACTGGCAGGAGTTCTTTGAGATCGGGGCTGGCGTGAATGGGGCCCTGGGGCCGGGGTGGGTCGTGGGCACTTGCCACTCAGATCAGTGCATGCAGTGGAGGCAGGCTGCAGTTATGGGCTGGACTCTGTGCCCTGTGCACAGCAGGCACATGGTGCTGTGCTGCTCTGGGGCAGCAGCAGCAGGGCACAGAACCCAGCCCTCAGTGGCAGCCCTCCTCTGCCCCACACACAGATCCATGGGCCACATGCCCCCCGGGCCTCCTCCAGGGTGCACACAGTGGTGGGAGCCCTCCCCCACCCCACACACACACCCCTTGACAAGCCACCCAGGCTCCAAGCATCCCACAACCCTCCCCAGTCCCTGGGCTCCATTCACGCTAGTCCTTGCCCCACTCCTTCCCACACTATGGGGGGCCTCCATCTGCCCCCTCACGCCACTTCCCCGTGACAGACTTACCTGTTGGGGGGTGCATGCACATGTGCTCTCAGCCCCCACAAATAATATCTTCTCCCTCCACCTATGTTGAAATAGGTTGCATATGTACAGTTTTCTCGACCTGCCATCTCTTACCTCTTCCTCAGAATCCTGAATACCCGAGATTCCACAGATGGGAAAAACTGAAGGGTGGTGGGCATTTGTGCCCAGGGTGCAAAGCATGAGCGGCAGAAGGCATACATCCCACATCGGTAAGCTTCCGTGCTCGAGGCACAAAGCACTAACAGTGGACTGTGCTCATAGGTGACACAATCTCAAAGAACTTCAGGTACTACAAGATAAGTAACATCTCTTTCCTTATGAAAGTTTTTGCCTCTTTTCCATTGTAACTTATAATACAAAGATTATTTGTGTCGATTGTTTTCATTTGCTTCAAAACAAAAAAACAAAATGTGTCTGGGGGGGAACAAACAACAACAAAAAAAACCCCAAAACACACAGATGTGATGAACTCAGTTGGTTTAATAAAAGATATTACATGTACTCAAAGAACCTTGCCTACACAGATGTGAATGAACTTTCCAAATTATAAAACAAGGCACGTGTCACAGGATACTCATTTGGATGGCTAAACTATTAGAATAGAAGGTGAACAGAATCTGTTTCCTTATCTTAACATTTCATCACTTATATATTAAAATGGGGGGAAAAAAACTATCACAAAAGGTAGAAGACCCAGTACTGTACATAAATTTGTAAATTCAGGAATTTTGAAAGTGACTGTTAATGTTACTGGAAGAAGTAGGCAAGTGGATTATGAACTTTCAGCAGTTGCCAAGGCTACCAAGTATTTTACTTTGAGAAACCAGCTTCATGTCTAACTCACATTTGTAAAACAAGAACACTGAATAAGAGAAGGGAACTCATACCTGTTTGTCTAACACCAGAGTTATAATCAACAATCCTGCCAAAGGATATGGTATTTAATGCTGACAAAACTCATGGTGTATTGAGTATTACACAGTGAAAAAAAAGGAACAACATTCCTTTTCAAATTTTACAGACCAGTATTATAAATAGTGAAAAGTGTGGTTAAAATTCACAACTGGGCCTTTGGCCAGTTTTTGCCCTCAGCCTAGATTGCCTGCTGACAGAATGAAAAAGAAAAGGACCAACCAACTTGCAAGGTATTTCCCCCAAATTGGGATGCACATACAAAGCAGAGAGGCTATTTTCTCTGCTGGAAAAGAAGCATGCCCAGAGACACTCTGTATGTCATGCAGCTGCCAAGATGCCTGCTGCTTGTGTCTGTCTCAGCAAGCTGAAGGGGCAGATACCTGTGTTAACCCTCTCACAGCCATAGCTATTGGCTTAGCACTGTAACTTCTGCCTGAAGCACTAAGGCTAGGGACAGAAGTTACACATAAACCAATTTAAGGGATCAGAAACTGGTTTAAATCTGTAACAGAACAGAAGTTCAGTGCACCTAAACCAGCTTCAAAATGGCTGAAACTGGTTTAAGATAAACCTGATTGACTGTAGTATCAGACTTAACTGATTTGGGTCAAAACAGTTTATGAAGCTTCTGTCCCAGACCCCTTCCTAGTTCAAGTTAAATCAGAGTCCCCCAGCATCCCATCATGCTTTGCAACCCTGCACTGGGCTGGGCTGGGCTGTCTGTTCCAGCTGTGCGGGGTTGGCTCCACCCCTCTCCTCCCTAACTGGAACACTATCACTGCTCCAGTTGGATGAGAAGGGCATGGAGGTGCTCTGGATTGTAGCCCGGTATGCCTGGCAGGAAGGCAGGAGCCTTTGCCAGGCATCCCCAGCACCCGCACACCCCTTGTTACTCCAGCCACAGGAGCAGGGGTGTGGCCAGATCCATGTAGCCTAAGGGGAAGGCGGGTTTAATTCCCTCACTGCAGGGGAGGGCAATGCAGGC